AACACTTTTTAGCTGAAACCGTTTCAGGAATCTCAGACTAGAATTTTGTGGTCTCTCTGAAGTAAGCTTCTAAGTAAGACTTGTGCTTTTGCTCCTAAAAGTAAAAGCCTGTTATCTGCTGCATGCAACTACATGGATTTTGTCATAAATCCATTCATATATAGTGAAGGATATATGCATATATGCTCTTCTTTTGGAAGAAATAAGAGAAAATTAAGAAAATGTGTAGTAGCACACACACAAAAACACCCCTTACAGTTCTGTTCAGCTTCAGGATAGGAGGTGAAAGGATAAGCTTACATTGTGCCTTTTTTAGCGGTCATAAAAATTTCACTCAAGTATACCAATCTTAATGGTGGAGACTTCTTAAACAAGTTCAGACCTATGACTTGATTTTAGACTAGCAATTGGTCATTTGAAGGCATGGCACAAAGGCAAGATATACTCTGATTTGCCTTCTTTTATTACTTCCAGAGAAGGAGAAGGGAAAGAAAACCCCCAACTTATCAAGCAGTTCACCTCTTCAAAGTGAAAAATAGTTTGGATAAACAGAAGACACATGAACTTCTCCAAATTAACAAGTATCTGGTAATTTTCTAAATGGAATATCACACAAGAATCAGGGATTTAATAAAAGGAATGTAAATGAGATATTCAATCCCTTCCTGTTTAATTCCATTTATATTTGTTAGTGCTTTTAATGCAGTGAACAGCACACAAAAGTGTCTCTAAAGAAGTGATGGTCTCTGCCAGATGGTCCTGTTATGGTAAATTTCACTGGGTTCAAGGATTGGTTAATTGTTTCCAGTTGTTCAACAAGGGAGAAGTACAGTCTCTCCTCTACCCCCCAAAAGAGGGAAAGTCCATGTACTTTTGTTTTATGGGGATATTAGGGATCAAAGCACCATAGAACTTTGGTCTACCAAAAGCAGTAGTGGCAAATCTCCCAAGTATGTTTTCTGGAACACTTATGAGTTTTGATGCTGAGGAAACAATTGACCATTGAAAGTCACTGTCTCTCACAGCAGGATGCTATTTGAATAAAGACAATTTCCCACAAGATCTCTGTAGAAGGGAAAACCCTGCCACCATTCCTCAAACAGAAACATTAAAAGCAGATTAGAAATAAACATTCATATGGAAGATCCTTTATGTTTAACATGATAAAGAATGGTTGCTTTGCTTTTGTAATCACGGGAGCACTCTCACACTCTTATTGCACAGACTAGACTTGTTGTGGAGATACTCAATTTTAACACCTTCCTGGGAAACATGATTAAAAATTTGCTAGAAGGATGCCAGCATGAGTTCTTTGCTAGCATAGACAAGACACAGGCCTGGGTCTTGGTGTGACTGAATTCCTCTTTATGTAGGAGAGAAAGAGAGGGCAAGGTAGAGATGTATGCCACCTTTGCACCACCTGTACTTTGGGGCCAGTACAGTAATTGGTAAGTAATTTGTGCCTGTTATCTATGGCCCTGAAGGGCCATTGCAGTAGCTTGGACTAGCTAGAACTCTGCAATTTTTTCAGCTATGCCATAAGAACAGCCATACTTGGTCAGACCAAAGGTCCAGCTAGGCCAGTATCCTGTCTTCTGACAGTGCCTAATGCCAGATGCCCCAGAGGGAGTGAACAGAAATGTAATTAACAACTGATCCCTCTCCTGCCATCTATTTCCAGCCCCTGCCAAACACAGGCTAGGGCCACAATTCCTACCCATTCTGGCTAATAAGTACTGATGGACCTAACCTCCATGAATCTATCTAGTTCTTTTTTCAACCCTGTTAAAATCCTGGTCCTCGCATCATCATGTCCTTTCCTCTCCATCTATACTCCCAATGTCAGAGGCTGTAAAGGGAAGGGGGAAGAAGAGGAGGGATAGCATAGATCCTTTGTGCTGCTGGTTCTACATCACATAGAGATTCCACCAAGCCAGAATGATTTCCGGTGGCTGTGTTTGTCAGCTTTATGTCCCCTTTGCATAGTATAGCCAGCATACATTGTTTCTGATATGGACTGTTTATCAGACCCAAGGATTGTGCTTGGACTATAGCAGAGTGCATCTTTCTTAACTGCCAACGATTAACAGCATTTTAAATGGTCTTAAGCCTTCTTCCTTTCCCCCATTTTCCAAAGGAATTTGAAGTTACAGGTTTTGTTTCTTTAAAGATAACAGAGAAGACATAAAAGAGTTTGCTATATTTAACCTCAGAAATTCAGGTCTGGTCTACTTGTTTTTCTCCTAGATGACTCTATGGTAGTCTGGAGAATTAGAAGGAGTAGGGCATAAATACCAGAAAAGCAGAGTGGAGCAGGGAAGCAATTTTCAGTTTAGTTTAAGACTGTTTTTGTTAATGCTTGCTTTGCTCAAAACACTGAAACGAAGTTGCAAGGGGAAAAAGAGCACACCTCTATTGTTAAAGATTCACAACACTGGCAATTTCAGTGCAGGACAAGCTTTTTAATCTACATTTACTTTCTCAAAGGAACATCTTCAGCAAAACAGGAAAGGTTAAAAACAAGCAATAAAAGCTTTTGTTTGCTGTTTGAGGGATGAGTGTGCTGGATTTTCAACTCTTCAATACTTGATAAAAGCAAACAAGCATCATAAAACCTTTTGTTCACAATTTTGTTGCTGTTATTGTGAGGAGACAGTTTACTGCAAGGCTAACTTAATTTAATAGGAAAACTGAATTCATTTTAAATTAGTGAATTTAAATTAAGATAACCTAAAGCCAAACTGAAGACTACCTTTTTGACAGAAAAAGCTTCTAGGTTTGCAAATACCACATACAAAATAAGTAAATGATTTCACTTTTTTTGTCTCTTCCCATTTCCTCTCTCATTGGTGTCCTCAGTGTGGTGAGAGCAACAAAATACTGGAAGAAATAAGAAGACCACATCCGTCTATGTGACTTCTTTGGGAGAGTATTTTATTGGGTCACCATAATTACCAACAACTATTGCCAATTAGAATTTAAAGTAATAATCTGAAATCAGATTTTTCCACAACTTGGTGGGAGGGCTTGTTAAATTCCTAAGTTATTAGGATCACTTAGGTCTGGCAAATAGGTTAAGCACACAGAACAGAGTGTCAGTCAAAATGCAAAAGTAAGTACAAATATTACTCCAGTGCATGGAAAATAAAATAAGAAATACTAGTGGGCAGCATTTTGCCACTGTAGCTTTAAAAAGTTCACAACACTTGCTCAGCTCTACAGTAACTGATAAATGCATTCATACTGCTTCAGATTTCAGGGTCCCCAGCCGCACATGGGAGCATTTATGTGCAATTCAGACAAAAGTTGTTTCACAATGCGATATGAGGGCAGGTCTAGTCCAGAATGCCCCGTCTACTTATTTCTAGCATAGTATTAGTCTCTGTTTTCATAGTTACAATTTTGTAGATACCGATTTGAAACTTTCAGTTGCATAGATTTGTCTGCTGGGCTACAGAGCGGTTATGCTAATAATTAGTTTTCAGTAGCAGCATCTATTTGGAGCTGGCACAGACATAACATTGCCGCATTTCATTTGCAATACCAGATAAAGCCATTTAGCAGAGAGCGTATTTTGAGAAAAAAAAAGACCTTGGATTAGACACACAGGCTACTTAGGAGCTTTTATTACATACTAATCAATAGAAGCATTTTGATAATGTAACTTGTGGTTTAATCATGAGCCCTTTCTAGTTAGTGCCGGGAAATTGTCTTTAGAATCTCTTAGCGTCCTTTCTTTACCGGCGTGTGTGTGGGGGGGGGGGGGGGGGAACACTGTGGAAAATTGCATGTTACGGATGGGGGGAGCGGGGGTGGAGGGGAAGCACTTTCTTTTCAGTCTGCCTCTTGCACTGTCACTTAAAAGGAGCAGACACTTTCCCCATCTGGCAGAGGGTTGTGCTTTTTCAAAAAGCAGAACATTCAAGATGATCAACGTGATACCTCTTGTCCCCCTTCCCTGCAACATTTCCATTAGGTAAGCCTGTCTGAAGCCCCTCCAATGGTATTGCTTAGATTGTTATAGTATTCGTATAAAATTTATCAAGAGAGCCTTGTTGATTCTCTCTTTAAGTGGCAACTTCAGGCAACTCCTAACAGAGAGCTAAACAAGATAAGTATTAATAATTCTATAAAATCAGCCAGCCCTCGTGTTTAGTCTTAGCATTTCAGGAGACAAAAATTCTTCCCACCCTCTTGGTTACCCAACACAAACAGTCCCGGGTCAATACTCGCTCCATCCAGTCCATTTTACTCACATACCTCCGAATCGCACAGCTCTTTGAAAGCTTGGGTTTCTTATCGAGCATGTTTCTCGTGCTAGACATTAAACCTTTCCCCACCCTCGACTGAACAACAGAAAAAGGGGAGAACCAGCACATTATCATTTCCTGTCTGAATTACAACATTACACTAATCACCCTCCTGGAGAAAGCGGAAAGTTAATAACTGCGCCTCCCAGTTTTAATTTTTTCCCTTGTCGTGAGATCGGTAGGAGTTACTGTACTGCGCTGCTGCCACTTGCAAGTATCATGTGTCTGTTACGGCCACAGCGTGTCATGCACAGGAGCAAGGTCTGTAAACTAAGCAACGGGGACAGCGAGAGATGATCTCTTTATTTATCTCTCTCTGTAACAGGAGTCTATTGCTCTGTTGCTGAGGATATCCTATCACGCAGGAGTCCTTAGCCTTTTTTAAGAAGTTTAGCAATACACCCCCTTTCCAGAGTGCGTAGAGAGCTGGGGCTGGATAAATTCCCTTTACTATTGCATATTAGTGATATTACAGGAGAGCCTGCTGGGTGTACAGGAATCAGAGGGGACTTCAAACCCGGCTGTTCCCGTCCCAGAGGAAGCAGTTAGAAAGAAGTGGAAAACAAAAATTGCCAACACCTTTCTGTGGGATTCAAAAAGCACATCTCCAGTTCCCACCAGTCTGAAGTGAGTGCCGGGTGGGAAGGGGTGTGCCCGAGTCCCCCCAGCTCCCCGCCTCCTCACACTAACCTGTGCAGTAGGATACTTTGCACTGAGTCCAGATCCTCCAGATTCCTGGTAACAGGTCTCGGGATGCTGTACCTGCCAACGCTGAACATGCTGGACCGCAGAGGCCGCTTCATTGCACAGACACAGAACAGTCTGCCAGCTTTCACACAAGCCCTTCGCCCCGAGTGCTGCTTGTGATCTGCGGCATACTGCACGGGTATGTGTGGGTGAGAGCTACTTCAGAGCAAACTTGTCCATTCAGCGGAAGCAGAGAGGAAAGTTTGAATAGTCTCTCCGAGCAATTCTTCTGTGATCCAAAGAAAACGGATTCCCGCCTCCAGAGAGTTGGGGAATCTCGCCTCCTTCCTTACAAATCTGTAGATCCCATCGCTCACTCAAGAGCTTTCCTGAATGTGTCGAGGAAGGAGCCCGGCATCTACCTGAAGGAAAGAGCCGCTTGCTGCTGCTTTGCTAAGCGGCAGATGAAACTTTGAAGGCAGTTCAAACGGAGCAGGTGGGAGCTGTTCAATTCTCCTGCTTCCTCTCGGTCTTTCCCTGGTCCTAAAGACCTCCAGACATTGGCTGCTAGGATCGAGTTGGCGTCTGGAGGTGCGAGTCCCAAACGGCTAGAAATCAAGTATTTGTTCCATGAGAAACAGGTACTGACTTTTTCCGGTTCTAAGGACACAATATTTTTTATCTTCTGAAGCCTGTGAATGTAAAGGGAACTGAAATTGTGGGAGGCTTCACAGCCTGCCAGAAATAGCAACCGGTCTGCCTTATAAAGTTCAAGGAACTGAAGAATGCTATGAATAGGGCACGATGTTGCTGTCAGTCTATCCCCCTCACAAAAGAGGATACGGGACTGAGGAAATGAACCTAAGTTTTGTATAAAGTAAAATTACACTTTACTGGCCGAGCTTGATCCTTCAGGTAGCAACTTTTCCCCACTCAAACTGTAATCTTCAGAACATTTTCTATATTTTGTTAGCAGATGCAATAGTGAATACTTTTATACCCATGTTTTATTCCTCATTACAAATGTGTATGAAAAAATGTCACAGAATCTAATCCAATCTAAGGTAGTATTAGGAAAACAAACCCACATTTAACTTTTTCAGAGGGGTAGCCATAGTGGTCTGTAACTGGAAGAAAAAACCCCAACAACTTTAGCAGATAGCCCTATAGCTCCTAAGTCTCTAAGGTGCTACTGGACTGTTAACACCCAAAGAATCTAATTGCTTTTACATGGTACAGACTCCTCACTATGGTGTCCCCTGCTGTGGGCTCTGGGAATTAGCTTACTGCTGGAGACACCCCCACAAAAGGGGATATCCTCCTGTCTCTGCACTCTGGGGTCCTCCCGCTCTGGGAACCCCCAACCCACTATGCCCTCCTTGCCTCAGTGACCAACTGCCAGTCTTCAACTAGTCCCTTAACTCAGGGGCAAGCCACAGTCTGAAATAGCCATTCATCATTGACAGAGGGCTGTGGACCTGCTGCCTTTACCTACTCTGACTCCACCCTTCCAGGAGCCTTTATTTATACAGCCTGCAGCTGGCTCATACTGGTCACAGCTGCTAGCTCCACTGATCCTGCCCTCTCCCCCTGGCTGGGTTTTAACCCTTAAAGGGCCAGTGTGCAGCAGATGCCCATCACACATGGTTATTAAATCTCAGGATGCAACACTTCCTTTGCATCAAACACAGCTATATTGAACTAAATGGAATTACACTAGTGTAAAAGGTGTGGGAACCATATCCTCTACCATTCTCATTTCCTATTTATAAATTATAGTCTTTCATAGACTCATAGACTTTAAGGTCAGAAGGGACCATTATGATCATCTAGTCTGACCCCCTGCACAGTACAGGCCACCCCTCCTAGAATAATCTCACCCACCCCTCCTAGAATAATCCTCTCACCTATATCTCAGATATTGAAGCCTTCAAATACTTTGAAGACCCCAAGATGCAGAGATCCTCCAGCTGTGATCCATACCCCATACTACAGAGGAAGGCAAAAAACCTCCAGGGTCTCTGCCAATCTACCCTGGAGGAAAATTCCTTCCCGACCCCAAATATGGCGATCAGCTAAACCCTGAGCATGTGGGCAAGACTCACCAGGACTTTTGCCCAAATGGGAGCAGCATAGTATTTCCGCAAGCACTGATTTCTTACATGAGATCGTCAGTGTTCTTGTGGAAATTAAAGCGGCTAGTGTAGATAGCTGGCAAGTTTTTCCGCAAAAGCAACTGCTTTTGCGGAAAAACTTGCCAGTCTAGACACAGCCAAAGGCTTTATTGTAATCTTTAAAGCCAAGTGTTCATTGCTATGGAAGGGGAGGGGGAGGGTTAGGCAGAAATGTGGTGTCTAAGCAGTAGTTGCTGAAGTCATTATGAATGTATGTACTAACTTCCAGGGCCATTTTGCCTGAGCATGCTTAGAAGAGGCTCTTGAAACTGCTCACCATACTGGCCTTGGAAGGTGTGTGGTGCAGAGCAAGGGCCATATCCCCATCTTGCCAAGGTACACTCACTTTAAGGTATAGCACACCTGGTTGCACTATGAAGCCTCCTGCACTAGGAGTGCATCAGGGAGAAAAGGAAAGATGAATATTGTTCTCCTCTTTTATGTAGTTGCTTCAGTCCCCTCACCACACATTTGCCACAGCCAAGGGGCTATTCAGAAAAAAAAACAGAATAAAGGGGAATTTGGAAATAGTTGTTCTAAGTGATACATTCCGTCTCCTATATGGATTACAATGGACAGAAAAAACAGGAGATTAGCTAATATTGCTCAGAGAAGCATCAACTAATCCTAAAACATTTTGTTATTCTCTTTGGAAGAGTCACAGAGCACAACCAGCAGTTCAGTTGCCAATGGCAGCCATGCTTCCATTGTATGTATGAGCTTCCTTCACAAGTCAAGCTGGGATCTAAAAAGTTTAGATCTTTTGAATCCTCGGCTTCAGCAGTATATCTGGCTTTGCCTCCAGTCTGTGCCTCCTACATTCCTACTGGCCTTGCAGAGTGGAAGTATGAGAATAATATTGCATAATATCAACACACAAAAAGTTCTGCAGAAGTTATGTATTACTTTATTCTCTTCCATTTATTATGCCTTATGGAAACATGGGTATTTCAGTCATTTTGGATTCCAAACAACAGTGGACAGTGTGAAACCTAGTTCTGGTATTAGCATTTGCTGGTAAAGCACAACAGTAGAATGACATGTTGAACATCAAAATCAGATTGTGTTGCCAATAGATTTTCCACTCACCCTTAGTAACTTTTCTTCATCCATTAGCTACTTCTCACAAGAGGCCTGTTATTTTTTTCCTGTAGTTATACACTAATTCTGTTCTTAATGATATTATCTGCTGTGAACAATATTATGTTTTGAACACACTCATAACAAAATGTGTGTAAAAAATCATTATTAGAATATTTTGTACCTCAAGAAAAGAAGCTTGTAAAATAAATTTTAAAAAAAGCTCCAAAGTTTGTCAATGTGAAAATGGGGGAAAATACTTTATTATTACTTTAGCTTATGAGATACCAGAGCAAGAGATTCAACAGGGTCTTACTGTTGACAAACTGATACAATAACAAAGTTTAAAGGCCAATAACATATATAGCTACACACTAATGTGTACATTTTCTATGGTCACTCACTACAGTTCAGTTCAACACATCCAGATAACAGAAGTGGCAAACAGAAAGAAGAGGAACAATCCAAAAATGATGCAGTGAATACATCCAAGAAAATATATTTTCTTTCCTGGATCTATTTATGTTCTTACAGCTGCAGACAAGTTCCTCAAAGCTAAAGAGAAAGCTCCAAACAAGCAGGACTAATCCTTAAACATGATTCCTGCAAATTCTTAACCTCTGACCTTTACAAGAATTATTTTAGTTGAGTCTTGAACATGTAAGTTTGAGATCACTAAGTACAGAGAGCTATATTAATGTATTCCCTCTCCCCATCCCAGAATTTTGCATAGTATCCCTGAAGTAGCTATTTATATATGTTAGGGAGGAAAGGATGTTAGGGATTACTGTATTTGAAATCTGTCCACTTTTATTACTTAGTTCTTATTACAAGAAACAATTTTGTGAGGCAGGAGGAGTGGAATTCAGGATGTATCTATAACTTAAAAATGTAACATTAAAAAATTTAAGGAGATGAAGAAAACAAAACAAAATAAACTCTTTAAAGTGGCACCCTGCCTGCCAGAAATATTCCAGTGCATCTAGTCTCATTCTCCACCTGAAAAGCTTTCCTGCCAGATCCTTTAAAAGGGCTCCCACTTTTGACAGTGTTGATTATTGTTTACTAGAAGATATGCTCAGCATTGTTTGGGGTCCTTAATTCAAATATGTTTTGTTTTTATTTATTTAAATCATTGATCTGGGATGGGGTTAGGGTGAGGGGTTCGGAATGCAGGCTGTCCCAGGGAGAGAAGACAACCCCAACCCTCTCTCATCACTGCCAGTTGGGGCCAAGTGAAAAATGCCTAACCATGGCCACTGCAGCTGACACAGCTGGGTAAAGGGTGCATGTGCCCAGCTGATAAGAAGAAGCTACATACCAAATTTGGCAATCCTAGTGCTTACTTTCAGGAGGAATTCTTGAACAAATGGACTCACAGAAGGATGAAGAAAATATAAGAGAAGTTTGAAAGGATTGTTACATTTATGAAAGAGATTTTTGCCTAGTAGGACTATACACTGTGTAAGGTTATTAGAACTTGTCCTTCGTCTGACATGCTGTCCTGGCCTCCGGGGTACTAGGCAATTGATCCTCTGAAGTATGTGATCCAGTGGAGCTAGGAAATAGTATCATGAGAAGATTTTCAGTCCTTAACTTTTGAAAGAAATGTTGACTTCCTTTAAAGATACAATTGTTAGGCCCTTGCTCAAAAAACTTTCTCTTAACAGTATAATTGTCCTTTCTGGAGGAAGATTAGGAAGAAGCTGGTATTGAATGAACTTTTGCTATATATGGAATATTCAGATTTCCTGGACTATGTCTGGTTGGATTTTAGGCCTGGATATAGCCAACAACCACACTGCTTTCATTGGTTAATGATCTCCTCCTGGCAATGGATGTAAATCAAGTGATCATTCTTTTAGATCTATTGTTTGTCATTGATACCATTAACCCACGAGATGTTATTACTGTCGTAGATCTTGGTAGGGATAAATGAAGTCATACTCAAGTGGCTCTGTTCTTGTCCTTCAGAGAGTACCCAAACGGTAATATAGGATAATTGCTGGTTTGTTCTGCTACTCCTCCTGAGGGATCATGGAGTGGTGCATATGTCCAATACTGAGATGATAAGCACTTTATATTTCTATTTCATTGGACTTAGTTAATGTAAGTGACTGATTAACCCACTATCTTGCTGGGAATGTGGGCTTGGATGAGACTGAGCTGGCTGATACTACATCAGGCTAAGACTGAAGTTATGATGGTAGTTTGAAAGAATTCAATAGGATTTGAGGAGTTGGCAGAAATCATTGACCTTTTTTTGGATCAGTCCCTTTTGGTCAGAATTTGATAGGGAAATACACAACAGCAGCTTTTTGCCTATATCAGCTGGATTTTAGTTATAACCCTGAGTATGGGTTTACCTGCTTGGCTGTTATAACCAGGTCACTAATCAACTTTTAGCAGGACTGACAATAGAGAGATTTTCTTTTCT